GGACGGACGGACGGACGGACGGACGGACGGACGGACGGACGGACAGATAGATTAACAAAGCATACATCCACAGTGCTATTTGAAGGAAAGTTTGATTCCTCTCTGCTCTCTCCCTCTCTTTCAGTTTGATTACTACAACTCCATGTTTATTAACACACTAGATGAAGATGGGAACTCTGTTGAACTAGGTGGAGAATTTCCACTTGAAGAAAATGAACATTTTAACAAAATGCCTGTCAACACTCAGCTGAGCACCATCCAGGTTCCCACAAATGTTTATAACAAAGGTTAGTGGAAGTTCATATTAGACAACTGCTTGTTGAGGTGTTCCAAAATGTATTCACAATCTCTTCTCTACCCAAACAGATCCCAAGCTTCTTAATGCCATCTACAACTCTGAAGCTATAAACGATGTCTTTATCAGCAACTTTCAGAGAGATCCCACACTTACTTGGCAGTACTTTGGCAGTTCATTTGGCTTTTTTAGAATATACCCTGGTAAGTTTATCCTTCTTTCATTGTTTATTGTGAGTTTTAAAATACTACTTCTTTCTTTACGTCTATGTATACAGGGAGAGAAATATATTTTTTAAGATTATTATCTAAATGTTAATTTCAGTGTCAAATGTATTTATATAAAAATATAAAACAACACTTGCTTCAAAATTAACCAACACCTATTACTAAAAGTACAACGTATTTAGAATGAGGTTTAATAGAGTTAAGACCTCCAACAGCTATTTAGTGTCTTGTACTGAGTTAATCAAAGTAAAGGAAAATAAAAGATCACAAGTTTAAGAAACATGGAACCGTTCATATACTATACGCAATGCAAATATAAGGTGTTTCACAAATTTTGAGTGCCAAAAGTAAATGTTAAATTATTTCTTTATTATAATTTTAATCCTGAACATCAAGGACAAAATTACCACAGTTAAGTCCTCACAAAGGTGTGTGATCATCATAAGAAAATCCCATGCATAGGATAGGGGTAGACCATTTATCATTTTCAAAGGTATTAAATTAAGTGTAAATAGACCCTATTTAACATCAACCCCATCCCTACACATATAAAACAAACAAAAATCCAATATGAGAATTAACTGGGTTGAGGTCTGCATCAAATGACCTGTGATATCGGAGGACAGAAAAGGTGGCTGCCTCGTTTTTTTTCCCCTTGATGTGGGTCTGTGTTCTGGGCTCATTTCATAAAGAAGGTTTAACTAAATCATACTCAAATTCTCAACTCTGAACTAATCTAGTCTAGGGTTGAAAACTCAGAGTTCAGGCTTCACGAAAGCTGCTGTGAGTGAGTTTATTCAATTCTGAGTAGATCCACTCAGAGTTGAGCATGTGCGTAACAAGTATGAAAAGCCATTATCAGTGGAGCACCGATTCGATGAGTCACTATGACGACAGGCAACAGAAAGTGCCTATTTCACCCAGTGAGATAAAACAGCTGGAGAGTGTGTTTGAAAGACAGAGAAACAGCGCTACAGCAGCAAAAGAGAGGATGATGGAAAAGGAGAAGTTTGCGGCTCGAGTTAATGCGTAAGTTTATATGAAGTCTATTGTGGCAGGGCATTTTGACATTTATTAAAGTGCTGTTGTTCCATTTCCTAGTCAAAATCACATTCCTATAGTCAGAACTGTAAAAACAGATTTTTTAATTACATTTTTGCTGCAGAAACTGACTTTTAGAAAGTAAAAAGCAAAATTATACAAGTAAGAACTAAGTTGTATATACCTAGAAATGTTTACGCATTTTAAGTGGCCTTTTTGACATTTATTTGCTTGACAAATATGTATTTATGATATCTGAAATACATTGCTTCATGATAAAAAAGATAAAGATGATGGCCAGAAACAATAAGAACATGGATATTTTGTGAGTTTGGGACCCAAACTGGCAGAAAAAAATCCAGATCCTACAACAACTGGAGCTCTGAATGAAACAATCAGCAGGAATTCTTATTTAAGGAGAAAGCTAAATTATAGGTATTGTCATTAAATGTAAAAACAAGAGGTCAACTGACTGTGATGCCATTGATATGAAAATAATTAAGGAGGTAATTGAGGAAAATATTCAGCCTCTGACTTACACCTGCAATCTGTGATTTCAGTCAGGTACATTTCCAGAAAAGATGAAAATTTCCAAAGTTATTTCCCTTTATACCATTTCACAAATTATAGGCCTGTTTCTCTACTTGCACAGTTTTCCAAAATTTTTGAGAAATTATTTTGTGGATAGATTAGATACATTCATTAATAAACATAAACTGCTTTCTGAGTCAGTGTGGATTTAGATCACAAATTCATTTAGATAAAATCAATTCATTGACTTGATGGAAGAAGTCACCAGTGCCTTAGATAATAAGAAATCTGCAGTTGGTGTATTACTGATCTCAAAAAAGCTTTTGACAAAATAAATATTACTTACTTAGTTAATGTGTAGAAGTATGTGGCATTGATACTGTCAAGCGCTGTAAATTGGCCTGAGGAATAATTTAAAATAACTTCTATGCATCAACTCTTTAGGTCACAGGAATACAGTCATACAATTGTTAACTCCTCTGAGAAAGCACGCGATGCCATTTTTGGCAATTTCAATTTTTTTTTTTTTTTTTTCAAAATTCACTGTATACCATGAATGCATAATTATCTCATTTTATTTTATTTGTTTGTATATGTAAAATTCTGTTTAAAGTAAGAGATCATTAAAAATGTCTCCGGACCTTTACTGGTTGATGCTTTTCTTCATTCGGACCCCTCTGATTTTTAATTGGTTACCTCTGGTTTAATGTGTATAAATATTTATTTCACGTCATGTGCACCATCCAATGCAGATCATTGGCGCCATCCACATCTAGTGAAAACTAGTGTGATTAGATGAGTCATATAACGCAAACACTCATCGGTAAGCAAAAGGACATCATCAGAAGCAAGCAGGTGTTCTTCAAACTGTAAACACGAATTGTCTATGCCATGCTACAATGTTGGATTCAGAAAAAGCGTATCGGGAGACGGAGCCGGAGACCAACAAGACCTCCCTCATCCTTGGTCCTATCTCAAAGAATTTTTCGAAATAGTCGAAAAATTGAGCTTTCAGTTCATATAGTGACATTTGGCTGTTTTTTTTTAAAGGTTAATTTTTACTTTTATACTTTAAGTCGTTTTTGGAGCTCATGCTTTTTCACTTTTACTTGAGTAAAGAGGTGAAGTTGATACTTCAACTTTTACCAGAGTGTTTTTAAACTGCAGTATCTATACTTCTACTTAAGTAACAAATGTGTGTACTTTTGACACCACTGGGTAACAAGTCCTTTGCAAGAAAATACAGAGACATTTAACAATGCATGCAAATACTCACACAATAACTTCGATTGATTTTAACAATCATAAGTTAGTTCCAAAACAGACAACAAAAAATACATAAAATTTCTAAGAATGACGTAAGTATCTTAAACATTCAACACTACCATCCTAACCTAAGGAGAATTTTAACCTTTTATTGTTTTTTATGAATTAACTGGTTTACAAGTCTGGTCTTGTGAGCTTTAATTTGTAATCATTGTATTGTATTATTCATAATACTGTTAATATACTTTTTTTACTGAACACTACTTCTATACTGAGAACCCTCTGTGCTGTCTGTAAGGTATTAAATGGACTCCAGACACCAATGGTGTAGTTGCCTTTGACTGCAGGAACAGGAACTGGTGAGTTTCATCAAGTTTTCATAGCACACTTAAGCCAATATTTAATTTCTTATATATATTTTTTTTCTTTTAGAAGAGTGCATTAAAAACAAATTCTAATTACCATGTTTTCTTTTCTTTTTGAAGTAGATATGAAGGTCAAAACGTGGTATTTTTTTTCGATTCTGTTAATTAACAGACCTTTATTATCTAAGAGGTTTTTGCTTGTTTTCATTTATTATTAGTAATTCAACTATCAAAGAATAAGATAAAGGGGTTTGAGGCTTTGTTTCTTTTAAGCATAAACCAAGCCCTGTTTTCCAACTTCGGTACAAGAGCATGGTGTTGAATATTTTAGTTTTGTTTACCCTCTAAATATTTAACAATAACATACAAAACAATAAACTAATGGTGTCAAAAAAGCAGGGGGACTCGCTGCACGGTAGAGATTCAGTCAGAGACCATTGTCCCCATGAATGTGGGTCGCCTGAGTAGCAACATTGAAACTCTGATCCTCTCTAAAAGACGTTAAGCTGTTCCTCAGCCAGGTCACTGCCACCCATATGGCACCATAGAGTATATAACTGCTCATTCTAAACATTACCAGAGAGCTGTATGTGCCTAAACATTTAGCTACAAATCAATACTGCAAATGGGGTTTTAACTGAGACAAAAATCTAAATATAATCATATATAAATAAAATCTGAAAAACATTTTTTTGACTTCAGCAAATTAAACTGTATGCCTGACTTCCATAAAAAAATATTGCCTTTACTCTGCTATCTTATAGGTATATTCAGGCAGCCACATCTCCCAAGGATATTATCATAATGGTTGACATCAGTGGCAGCATGAAGGGGTTAAAGATGACCATAGCAAAGCACACTATCAACACCATCCTGGATACGCTGGGAGAGAATGATTTTGTCAATGTCATTGCTGTGAGTCGTCTTCTTCTTTGCAAACACACACATTTTTTATTTGGAATAGATATTTTGCACTCATGCAAATGTTTGATTAGATTTGACTACCAATGCACATTTTTAAATATTTAACAGGGCTTACTTTTCCTAACAATCACTCAGCATTGGCTTTTCAATATATTTGCATAAATAACAACATAGGAAACAGCGTGACACTCCTGTGATGCTTCATGATTATTCATTTTTCTTTTGTCTGTCTGTAGTACACTGACTACGTACGCTATGTGGAGCCATGCTTTAGAGGAACACTGGTGCAGGCTGACTTGGACAACAGAGAGGTAAGATCATTATCTTCATGAAGGCTTAAAGAGCAGCACATGCATCTCATCTGGCATTTCACAGGCAGAAATGTTGGCTCACATTAGGTTTTTCTGTTATAACAAGGAATTTGTATGGGTTTTTATTCATTTTGAGTTATTTTCTATTATTGACCCTAACTTTGACAATTACCAATGCATTATTGCTAGAAGAATTGTGTTTAAATATTTTTTAAATTGTGTGTCATTCTTTGTTAAATGTACTGTGTGCCAATCCACACTCAATGCTTGAAGGATATGCTCATGCATTGAGAAAATTCTGCCTCCGGTTTTAAATTTACCAGATGTATTTAACTTTTCCCATGCCTAGTTTACAGAAGCTAACTATTTTTTTTTACCCCATAAAAAATAGACCTTTTCTGTATTTCTGACAAATTTTTGAGCAGTAAAATTTACAGCATTGAATAGAACAGCTTCTAAGTCTTAGTAAGTGAGGTTGAAAGCACCTTTTTTTTTTTTTGGGCATCCCCTAATTGCCGCTACGGCTATAGGGTTTTACATTGAGTTATGTATGTTAATGAAACCATCCTGTTCTAATACGGAATGAGAATACATCAGTGACAAAAAAGGTCAAAGCAATCTTATTTGTTATCATATTTTTATATGGTCAAGCAGCTGTATTCATGGATAAATGACTTAAACGTCCTTTTCCTCGGGATTCAGGAGAGGTTTCAGTTGAGTCCAAGAAAGGGGGAAAAAAAAGAGACCATACCTTAACCTCGGGGGTACAGTGAAGACCTATATTTTTTATAGATTCACTTGTGCTTCTGCAGACTCCCTGCAGTTACAGTTCCTCTTTTTGCAGAGAAATCCTGGCAATAAAGCTGTAAGAATTTACATCAAAGCATTCAATAGTGATGAAGGCCTAGACTGTCTCAAGCAAAGGAGGATTCTTACGCCGTATCCCTGCTTGTGGATGAATCATAAAAGCCTCACTCTATTGTTGAAGACCTGCTTCTCCCAGCAGCAACTGTTATACCGTAACTGAAATTATGATGAACAAAAAAGCATCTGAAAGACTCAACTGAAACTTTATGAATGACGCAGTGAAGTGTTTGGGTTTTTGAAGGAATAACTACATTCTCGCTGTGGTGTTTGAGGATGCAAAGTGGGTGGCACGCCTCGCAGATCTCACGTGTAAATATATATTGTCAGGGATCCTGTGTGGGTTAGTGTGAGTTGTGCATCTCTATTATAGAGGATATTTGTGGAGAACTTGGGTAGCCTACACAGGTGAAAGAAATCTTCATAATCATAGTGCTGGGCTTAAAAGAGCACCAGAGCCTTCATTCAGGGCTGGTTTCTTGTATGTTGTAGATGTTGTTTTGTTGCTTCCTAGTCTCTTGCTTCCCTTGAGTATTTTTCATGACATTTATTGGTTTTGTTTGGTTTTCAGTATTTTTGTATTTTGGATTTTTGCCTCTTTTTCCCTCATCTAAACTCATCCGTGCCTACTCCTCTCTGCATTTGGGTCCTCAAATCCTCGACTCAACTTGACATAAAATTGTCAAACTGAATGAGCTCAACCCATCACTTCAGGGAAGGGAGTCACACATCCTTAAAATGTATGACAAAATTAAAGGATTCTTAAAAAAGCTCAAACTATGGTAGAGAAAATGCGATGAGGGCGATGTGAGTTCTTGCTACCACTGATGTTTTCCGGGCTCCAGTAGACAAATTTGTGCAAGCACAAATGTCTGGCCTCTGCAATGATTTCAGTCAGTATTTTAAGTACAATGAAGAATATGTCAGAGAGACTGGATTGGGTGAGAGACCCATTCACTGTGTGTGAGAGTAGCAACAACCTTCCCACAAGGCTGCAAGAGCATCTGATGGATTTGTCGTCCGATCGTGGCTGAAAATGAGATTTGCTGAAAAGACATTGACAAAGTTTTTCTGTGATGTGAAAAGAGAGAATACCTTTAACTGGAGAAGAATGCACTGTTTGAACTTTTGCCTTTTGGTTCTGCTTACATGTGTGAGGTTACCTACTTAGCTTTGACCGACATCATAACCAAGCCGAGGAAAAGACTAGATGTGGAAAACAGCCTATTAAGAGCTGTTTCCAAATTTCCCCCAGATCTATCAGAGCTAATCAAAGAAAAACAAGCTCAGCTAAATAAAGCTAATTTGAATGATGAAAACAAAGTAAAACTGATATAATGAATATAGGACTTTTGTTTTGTTTTTTAAATGTACATTTATCTTTTGATTTTGGATTTTTTTTTGATAACTTATTCACTTTCTAGGCAACATATTTATGGCATGTTTTAATTTTATTGACTAAATAAGAAAATGCCTGATAATTAAATGTTAAATATTTTTTTTCCTTTTATAATCACTTGTGGATTTTTAAAATCAACAGGTTTCTCTGAAAGGGTCCTCAAGGTATGACAAATTGGCTCAAAAAAGCACAGGTCAAAAGAGGTTGAAACCACGGATGTACATGTAGCTGCTAGTGAAATAATATTGTTCTTTGTTTGTCTTTCAGCACTTTAAGCTGTTGGTGGAGGAGTTACACGTTAAAGGAGAAGCAAAAATAAAGAATGCGATGAAGGAGTCCTTTAAGATCTTAAATGAGGCAAGTTAGTCTTTGCCTCATTGTTTAAAGTCTATCAGTATATATAACAGTAATATATAGGCAATATCATAATTCATTAAAGAAAAACATAAAGCTGGGAGAGAGATGTGATGATCAATATCTTTATCAATATATTTTTGTGTGCAGGCAAGGATCAATGGCCAGGGCAGCATGTGTAATCAAGCAATTATGCTAATCACAGATGGGGCCATGGAAGACTTTGAGTCTGTCTTTGAAGAATTTAACTGGCCAGAGCGCAGGGTAAGCCATTGGAAGGGACATTAAAACTTTTAAACATTTTTCAGTATACAGATTATGGATCAAGGTTTACATCTAGTTCTTAAGGAATGTTAAGAATGTTGGAATAAGAATGTTCAAAATCGAGATTCCTGCTTTAAATATCACAGTTGAAGCCTGAATTGTATTGCTCATGTATGCTGTAGTAACTGAGATAGTTTTTTTTTCCTGGTTTTATTTTTTTTTAAAGAACTTAAGCTGTCGGGATGGCTGCTTTCAAACTTCTTAGAAGTAAAGCTGCTGGATATGCAAATTCTGGGCTGGTTTGGTTAAAGGGGTCATAGAATGATTAAAAGCAAATAAATAAATGAAGAAAATGAAGAAAAAAAGAAAGGTTTGCAATTGCATCAGATTCAGCATCATGTCTGCTAGGAAGTTTGTTGGTCGTGGGCTATTACAAAGTATACAGTAATTGATAAATAAGTCAATTTTTAACATGGCTCTCTGTTTAGGTGCGAGTGTTCACCTACCTGATTGGCAGAGAGATGACATTTGCTCAAAACACCAAGTGGATAGCTTGCAACAACAAGGGTCAGTCCAGTGTCTATGTTTAGATAATTGCATGAAATTTCTTACCATTTTGTGTCTTATAAAATCTGATATTGTGACTTTTTCAGGCTACTACACACACATCTCTACACTGGCTGATGTTCAGGAGAATGTCAATGAGTATCTCCATGTGCTCAGTCGACCAATGGTCATCAACCATGACCACGACATTATCTGGACAGAAGCCTACATGGACACAGTGGTGAGCAGAGCTACCCACTCTACAATTTTTTCCACATTTTATCCCCATCCTTGTGTTTGTGACTTCATGCTCACCTGTTTTTAATTCATAAATCGAATTATTCTCTCATGAACATCTGGACCTATCTTTCCCCTCCGGCAGCTTCCCAACACAAAGGAGGTAAACAAATAAATAATTGTTTGTGATAAATATTAACCATTTACCTTATATTATTTCAGGTATATTTCATAAGGTTCTTCACCCAGTTCTAGAAAAATCTTAAGTATAGAAAACATTGCAATATGGTTATTTTCCTCCATCAGCTGAAAAAGGAAAGGGACGAGTTATTTGTGCAACGTTTTTTAATACCAGGAATCAGAGCACATATGACAGCTAAAATAGCTCCTATGGAAGAGTGTGAAGTGTAATTCAAATCTTTAAATGCTACCGTGAGGGTAGGGTAAAGCATTATGTCTTAAATCTTCATAACTGGGCTCTTAATTATTCTTTAACATGAGCATTAAATGTCATGACCTTGCAAAAAATGAAATCTTAACTTAATTCCATCATTATACGCAAAAGAAAATGTAAAGAAATCATTTTGATTTGTGGTTTGAGTCTCTGCCTGCAAATAAAGAGTGGGTGGTTGGGTTCCAAGTTTTTATGACAGTAAACTTCTTTTATGTGATAGTCTTGCCTGTAGCCCATTACCATCTAAACTTCAAAAACAGAACTGCAATATCAGCATTTAATACAGCATTTTTTTCCGACACAATTGATATAAGAGTTAAAAGTGAGTCAAAAAATTGTTTAAAACTCACAAAAGCAGGAATTTTACTGTTTCACAGTCGCAAATCCTCATTATGTGCTTTTTGTATACACAAATTTTTGGATGCATTATCCTAGCAGTTTTCTTAGTTTTTTGTGGGCTTTTGTTATATGTGTATTTTAATAATCTGTAACAAATTGTGCTATGCTGTCTTTAAGCTTTTCTATACCAAAGCTCAGAGTCTGCTGCTGATGACTTCTGTGGCTATGCCAGTTTTCAGCAAAAAGAAGGAAACGGTCAGTACATCTCACAAAGGAAATCTCATCATATTCTCTACAAGCTAAAGTTGACAACTGGCTGGTTTTATGTATTCCAAAGAAAAGTGTCTCATTTCGATTTTACGTACTTATATCACAAATTATTTAATGATTTTCCTGACAGAATAATAAGCACAGATTCATTTTGCAAACAGCTTGGTTGATGTAAACCAGATTCCAACCCAATCTGGAAAAAAAACACAACACTAAATAAAAAAAAAGACTGCATAGATTTTTGCAGTCTTCACAACAAACAATCTGCATTGATTATTTCCTGTACTTTTCATACCGGAGATAATCATAAATGAATAAAAAAAAAAAAAAAAAAAAGCATTTATACACTGAAATGAGCAGAAAACGAAATTACTGAATCACTTTATGGTCACATATTTTTACATAAGTTGTGTGTAACTGTTTGACCTTTAATGTTACTGTTTTCAGCTGTCACATGGAATCCTGCTTGGTGTGGTTGGCACTGATGTTCCACTAATGGAGGTGATGAAGCTAGCACCCAGATACATTGTGAGAGCAACTTTTGGCTACACCTGTTTTCAAAACTAGACTGCATATTTGCAAATAAAGCTGAAAACAGGGTTGTGTTTTGTTTTAGCTTGGACCACATGGCTATGCCTTTCTTCTTAATAACAACGGTTACATCCTGGCTCATCCTGACCTCCGACCTCTCGTAAGTTGAACTTCTGAACATGTAAATTCTCAGTCATCAGGGTCATTGCAACTACAAGCAACCTTAAGTTTTGGGCAACCACACTTTCTCTCAGTTTTAATAAAGACGTTTCAACATCCTTGTCAATTTTGTCGGTGAGCAATCTGAGAGGACAGATGTTTTGAAAGAGGGTAAAGGAAGCCATCTTTGATAAAGGGAACAGCCATCACTGAACAGAAACGGAGGATCATGGTCTCAGCTTACATGCAACTACAATGCTGTAGTGGAACCCATTCCAAAAAGGTTACACAAGAATGCTCATCATGAGTCAAATTACTGAACACATAACCCATATAGAACAAAAGACTTCAACAGCCCAGGATGACAGGTAAGTGTTAGATTTGAATTGCTTAGGAGGATGACCTATGTGTTGCTTAAAACTTTATTGCTCCAACTACAGATTGCTCTCACTCTAGTGCGTGCCAACAGAACAAGCAGACTCCAACATAGGTTTTGAAACATCTTCAGAAAAACTGATTGAAAGTCCAGTTGCTTCCTATTTAAGCTTGTTTTTCTTAACACCAAAGTGTTCAAAATTAAATAATCAAATCATTCTTAAATAACTAGCTGGATAAATAAAAGACATGGGCATTGAAATTCTGACATATGACAATTAAATTGTGGAATNTCTCATTTCGATTTTACGTACTTATATCACAAATTATTTAATGATTTTCCTGACAGAATAATAAGCACAGATTCATTTTGCAAACAGCTTGGTTGTCATGAACCAAGGACAGATGGACCCAGTATTCAAGGAGAGACAGTCAGTAGGAAAGTTCAAACGTTTATTAAATAAAACAAAACAAAAGCAGAGCTGTGGCTCACCGCCCAATCTCAGACACTCTAGGGAGGAAACACAGGTAAGTGACCACGATCAACTGATTATCTGTGTTGGTCACTTACCTGGTTTAACAGTCCAGACCACGAATGTCCCCAGTGCTGCAGTCCCAGAGGTCATGCTGGAAGCCGATCCTGGTCAGGGATCCAGAACAGACAGGAACAGGCAGGATCCAGATCAGGCAGGAACAGAAACAGCTGGCAGGATCCAGACTTGCAGGCATCCACAGGCTCCCAGGAGGGTTCAGAGTCTGACTGGGACCAGAAGCATGACCAGGTGGTCACGCACAGGAGCAGACAGGATCAGGTGCAGACAGGCAGGCTCAGTGGAAGAGGGTAGCCGAGACACGACGTAGGAACCGGAAATTGAAGCAGGACTTTAAACTGGTCTCCACCCTGGAGCCAGGCTTACTGGATAAAAACTGAACCTCCCACCATAATGAGCCAAAAACCCAGAGGACTCCGTAAGGGGAGGAACAGTGGACGATCAGGAGACGAAACAAACACTAAAACCCTCTTTCCACTGGCAGCTAGGATCCAGGACATGAACCATGAACTAAAACTGAACAAAAAGACTGACAGAAAGACAAGCAATTATCTGGTACTGAATGCTCAGGCTGAACTGAATATAACCAAGAGGAAACAGGTGAGAGGAATAAATTATAATTGAGGCAGGGAGGGAAAAACGACAGGTGAAAGGAATGACTAACTAAAGGAGAGCAAACAGGCCAGATAATGACATTGGTTGATGTAAACCAGATTCCAACCCAATCTGCAAAAAAAAAACCACAACG